TTTAGGGAGGAGGAGGAAAGACTAGCTCACAGCATTCTGAAATAACCTGTGGCGGGGTGAGAATGAGAGAAGAAAGTTGAGTCTTTTCCAATGAAAACAGGTTTATAGGCAGAGTAGAGCTCCCTTCTTCATGCCAACTTGGTCTCCCCAGATCTCTGAGCTGGGCCAGCTCGTTTAAGTGTGGTTACTAAAGTTCTCTACCTAATCCACTAATGGGATGGTGGAGAAGGACAAAAGGTTGATCTATACAATAGGAATAAAATGAAGTCCTTATTTGATTGTTAAGGAACTTTGGTGGCTTACGGTATATTTGGACTGCTAACCAAAAGTCTGCTGAAGAAAAAAGAAAACAAAAGTCTGCCAAGAAACATGGAATGTCAACTGACTTAAAAAGGTCCATATTTGTTCCATTCCCTAAAAAAGCTGATTCAACAGAATGTTGAAATTATAATAAAAAAAATCATTAATATCACATACAAGCAAATTATTATTCAAGAGCAGCTAGAATAATACACAGGGAACTTCCAGAAGTTCAAGCTGGGTTTAGAAGAGACTGTGGAGCCAGGGATATCACTACAGAAGTCAGGTGGACGCTGGCTGAAGGCAGAGAATACCAGGATGTCTATTTGTGTTTTATTGACTACACAAAGGCATTTGACTGTGTGGATCTGACATCAAAGATTCTCACCATTGGCCCAATTGGAAGCATCATGATAGTGAAGAGATTGAGATTGTTAGAAATTTCAGCTTGCTCAGCTCCACAATCAATACTCTTGGCACCAGTAGTCTGAAAATCAAAAGACAAATTGCACTGGGAAAATCTGCCATCACGGACCTCTCCAGAGTACTGGAGAACAATGACATCAGTCTATAGGCTAAGGTGCACCTAAGCCAGGCCACGCTTTTCACAATTACTTGCTGAGCATCAGAGAGCTGGACAATGACTAAGGACGACAGAAGAATTGATGTCTTTGAGTTGTGATGCTGAAGAGGTGTATTGACTATATCATTGACTGCTAAGAGAATAAACATGTCCATTCTGGAGAGGGTGAAACCAGGCTGCTCCTTGGAGGGAAGGATTCTGAAGCTTTGTTTGACAGGCTTTGGGCATGTTGCTGGGAGGGACTGGTCCTTGGGGAGGGACATCAAGCTTGAAAGGTTGGAGGAAAAATACAAGAGAAGACGACCTTGGATGAGATGGATTGACTCAGTGGCTGGTGTAATTGGGGTAGGTATATCAGGGAAAATGAAATTGGCTCAAGACAGAGCAGGGTTCAGACCCTATGTGGCACATAGTGTCACTATGAGTCAGAGTCAACTTGACAGCACCTAATTGCAACAGTTAAGTAAGGAGGACAAGTAAGGATACCAGAAGTAGAAGAGAATTGTGGTCTTAGAGAAGAGTACTGAATATTCCATGGACTGCCAAAAGAACAAACATATATCTTAGAGAAAGTGCAGCCAGGGTGTTACTTAGAGATAAGGACGTGAAGCTTCATCTCACATACTTTGGGACATGTTTTTAGGAGGGGATAGTCCTTAATAAAGTGCATCCTGCTTGGAAGGATCAATGAAAGAGACTATAACGGTATCAAAGAGTTCCAGTAATCAGAGACGATGAGGATGCTGGCATAGGCTAGGGCCAAGTTCAGATCCCTTGTTCACAGGGTCACTATGAGTCATACTTGACTCAAGGCACCTATCAATAACAACCCCACCAAAAGTCAGCAGTTTGATTCCACCAGCTGAATTTTGTGAGAAAGATAGGTAGTCTCTTTCTGTAAAGATTGACAGTCTTGGGGACCTGAGAGAAGATCTCCATGAGTCGGAACGGACTTGAAGGCTGTGGAGTTCATTTCTTTTGTATTTTGTTTTTATTTTTAAAGTAATCACCAGTAACCGTGGTGCAACGGTTCAATAATTAGTTCAACTGCTAGTTGATGTTGGGAACCTAGCAAGGCTTCCATAGGAGCAAAGAACTGGCAATCTGCTCTCATAAAGATTCTCAAGCTCACTCATTGCTGTGGAGTTGGAGCGGACTCTAGTGGGTTACCCAGGCTGTACATAGCAAGGAGGGGATCATTTCTCTTTCTCCACAGAGCTCCTGGTGGATTCAAAATGCCAGAGTGGCACAAACTTTGAGTTAGTAAGGCAACTCCCAAAGGACTACCCCACCACAGTGCCCTAGTCCATAAAGATTCCAGCCTAGGACACCCCATAGGACAGTTCAGCTCTGTCCCAACTGGAACCAGATAGTGCAGAGCCAAACCCACCTCGCCAGTGTTAACCCTCTTACCTTCCTTCATGTGGGTTCACTATGAGCTAGGATTAATTTGAGGGCATCCAACCACCACCACTTTGCTTTTTGTTTTGTTTCTTTTCCCCACATTGCACTTAGCATTTTCTAAAATATTATACCAAGAGAAAAGTTTCCATCAAATTGACTCTGACTTATGGGAGCTCTGGTGGTCTATGGGCAGGAAGCTGTGCTACAGTCCCAAAGGCATGTGGTTCAAGGCCACCAGCTGCTCAGTGGCAAAAGGATGGGCCTTCTCCTCCTGTGCAATTCACTTCCTCTGAAAACCCACTGGAGGATCAGCTATGGGTCGGTTCCGACTCTATGGTACTCAACAACAACATGGTGACTCATGCATGTAGAACCATGCTCCAGAGTGTTTGCAATGGTTTATTTTATCAAAGTATATTACCAGGCTTTTCTTCTGGCCTCATCCTTGGTGGACATTGTTTGGTTAGTGGCCATGTACATTCACCATTTGCACCGACCAGAGATCCCACATATTAAATTAAGAAAACAAACCAACTAACCCCTCATTGCTGGGTAGGTTTGGATTCATGCTAAACCCATGTGTGACAGAATGGAACGTCTCCAGGAAGCTTTTTTGGCTGTATTTACCAAAGCAGACCACTGGCCTTTTCTTCCATAGATTCTAACTGGTAATCTTTTTTGGTAATTTAAGTTTTTAAATTGTAGATCATTTTTATGCCTTTGTAGGGTTTGGACTGTGAATCTCTATGATTATGTACATTTAAAAAAATGAAGAAGAGAAACAATGCTCCTCAACTGGCTTTAAGCAGCCAGGGATTCCAGATGTGGCCGTTTTAGGCTGTCTTAGTGATGGAGACACCATCTGACTGTGGTTCACCATTGCTCTCTGAATGTCCACTCCCATTCACAATGGGAGGAAGGAGTCCCTGAGAATGTTTCCGTTTTATGGTCTGGGATCTTCAAGCAAATGTCTCATTTAAGGTGAAATTTCTCTCTTATTCTACTCAAATTAGCTGAAGTCTGTTGTAATATAGTGCAATGTTTCCACATTACTCTACTTTGAATCTAAACTCAAATAGTAAGATTCAATATTAAGGCTCAATAGTGTTAACAGTAATTGGTTGGCAGTACAGCATGGTATGGACAATACCACCAGAGCTCCTTCTGTTAAAAGTAATTGCAAGGTTACTTGTTGCATGTTAAGAGCTAGTTGCATGAATGGTCTGAGACATGGTTGCCTGGTGCTCTGCTGAAATCTATACTTATACCTTGTTGTACCTACAAAGGAACTCTTGCTTTCTGGAGAAAGAGTTGGCAAGCAGTGGAATCCTACCCATGGCTGGGAGGAACCTGGAAATAGTGGTGACTTGCATCCATGCCCAGTGCAGCAACTTTGGGCCCCTTGCACTGTCAGGATTACTGAAACATCAAAATAACAGCTCACTTCTGCAGAGCATGAACTTCCTTGCAGCTTCCATTCAGGCATTAAGTTGGACTCTAGTCAGACTGACCTATGAGGACTAGTCGGAGCCGTCCAGAAGGGAATCCTGTAACCAGGTTCTGAGAAGTGGGTGAGGTGTATATGTGTGGAAGTCAGTTATGCGTGAAATCGGGTCCTTGTTTCTAATGTACTTAGACATCACGCCATGGAGTTTGGGCAGCTGTTCCCAATTGCTTTTATGGGGATTGCAAAATATAACCTTTTCACCACTTGGGTTTGTCAGTTTGAATATAAAAAGGTAAATAAATCTCATAGCTTCTGTACCTTCACACTTTCTGCCTTCCTCATCCTACTTTATATTTCTCCATGACATTTATCAGTATCTAAAATATTATACATTTGCTTGTCTGTCTTTCCCCAGAATGGAAGTTTTAGGAGGAAGAGACTTTGTGTTTTGTTCTCTGCTGTATCTGTAGTTTAAGAATAATACCTGGCACATAGCAGATGCTCAGCACAATTTGGTAAACAGAAAGAGAGGGGCAGAGAGAGAGAGAGAAAAAGGAAAAATAAAAAAAAAGAGGGAAAATGCATAAAAGGCAAGGAGATGCATCTTTTACAAAGAATGTTTCCATTTATTTTATGATTTTAAGTCTGAACCTGCACAAAATGACAGCTGCATTTAGCTCAAAGCGGCCCTGTGACATGAATGGAGAGAAGCCCAGGTTGTACCTTTACTATTCATGTGTCCAGTGACCACAGCAACCAGCCCTTGTAACAATCTGCATCTGCTGAGACTGTGAAAGCCCTGCTGCAAATGACTCAGGGATTTTCTTGGGGTGACAGTGGGAAGGGGAGCCAGATGACTTTTGCTGGGGTGAGGATGGACTCTGACTGCTTCTCTCCCAGCCTGCCAGTCCTCTGAAGGATGGTGAAGGAGGGCAGGGTTCCCAGGGAGTGTGGGAAAAGCTCAGGGGGCCTGGGAACTCCAGGGTGGAGGATCCCCAGTTCTCTCACTGAGGGTCTTAAAATGGGGTGCCATTCTCCCGATAGGATACAGCTGAGAAGAGGATCTAAAAGAAACTTGAGCTTGAAGTTTCTGAGAAGCAGCATAATTTCCCTTCCTTCTCTCTTAATTTCAGTCTTTTTACATACCCTTTGAAGGCCCCCTCAGGCCACTTCCTGGCGAGTGGACATCACACTCACCCCTGGGTACAGATGTATGTGTGTGTGTGAGAGTGCACGTGCCTTGCTCCTGTCAGGGGAGCTGGCCACTCACACGTTGGTATGTTGGGAGCCACCTGACAGTGCGCTGCCCGGCTGGCTGTGGCCTGAGGGGACTACACTGGCTGTGTGGCTCCGCCTGCTCAGATTCTCCCCACCCTGGCTCTGTGGGGCTGGCTCATCCATTAGCTTCAGCTTCTCATGCTCCTCCTTCAGGAAGAAGTCCACCAACAAGCTCTTCTCTTTCTTGATCTGGTCACTGATGTCCTTGGGGATATCTGGGATCATCCAGTCCACAAGAACGCTCAGGAACATCACAAGGTTCTGTCAACAGCAAGAAAGAGACAGATGGAGAAGGGTGGCTTGGCGGATGGGTCTCTGTGGCACTGATAGGACTCTAGTAGTGTGCTGTTGCCCACCACTTCCCTCACAGGCTCAGCTGTGGTCTGATGATATGGTGTCATGTAGTAGTCAAGAGCACTGCCCAGAACAGACTGATTATATTATGAGCCAAGTGACCTTAACCGAGAAACAACTCAACTTCAGTGCCATCAGTTATAAAATGAGACCTTCTACAGTACTCGTCGCACAGAGTTGTAAAGATTAAATAAATGAATGCATGTACAACATTTACACCAGAACCTGGCACACTGCAAGGCCCTCCTCCCCTTTTCCTCAGACTCTTCTCACACATCCTAGTTTCACTGCTAGACCTTGAGGCCCAACCTCTCCCTGCACAGAGTTTCCTGGGAGGGGGCCATGGAGCCAGTCATCTCTCCAGGGCACTCACCATGGTGCTTGCCCTTCTCCCTACGGCTGGCTCTCTCAGAACTCCACATCAGAGATGGATGGACCGGCAGGTTTTGCATTGAATTCTGCCCTCAGCCAACTGCACTGACACTTACACTTGGTCTGGACTGCTCTCTGTTCCATTGCAACCACTCCTGTGTGCCCACCTATCTAGGACTCCCTGCTCTTCTTTATCATCTTGTTCTGTTAAACCACACGCCTCACCTCACAGATTCTGACTGGTCGGATAAGACTACCTTTTCCTTGAAGCATTCTTTATGATTGTTTCTGACACGGCCCAGTACATGTCAATTATTTTTATAATCTGAATTGCATTTATTCCCCAAGTCACTCTTCCCCTGCCCGCTAACCAATACTGAGAAAACAATCAAATGTAGGGCCACTGAATGATTCTAACTCAGTGAACCTCCAGTGGGTCTCTGAAGCTGTAAACCTTTATAGGAGGAGACCGCTCTTTCTCTCTTGCAGCAGTTAATGAAATAGAACTGCTGATCTTCCAGCTAGCAGCTCAACAACAATGCATGGCACCATCTGAGCTCCACTGCTACTCAATGTGGTGCTCTTACTGTCAACTGTATGCTCACCAGCCTGTGAGACTGGAGGACAATGACTGGACCCAGAGGTAGGGGTCAGAGCTCTGCTTGCCTTCATGCTCCAAACCAGTCCCAACTCCTATCCCTTCCCTTGAACTCTATGTGCTCCTAGGGGCTTAGGTGAAGACTTCACAGACTCAAGGCCTCTTCTAGCAACTCCTGGGATCCTCAGATACTCCGGTTACTTTGTCAAGTGCTACCCTCTTCCTTTAAAACTCTTCCTTACTGTGAAAGTGAAATGTTGCATGTCCTGTACTGTAAAGGCAGGAGACTTCTGCGGGTGGGGCAGCAAGGGGACGTCTGGTCAATTTTCCAAATCTATCTCTCCATCTTTCCAAGGAAAGAATGGCCGTCTTCTTCAGGTGAAAGACTAGCTGATGGGATTCTCCCATTTCAGGGTTGGGGTCTTGGGGGCAGGATATTTTAGAGCCCTCCAGAGATCAGCCTTCAGGGAAAACAAAAGCCCAAGGGAGCTGAAGAGAAAAGAATCTGAACTGTGCTCGGCCTCCCCCGACTGCCCAAGTGGGATCTGGGGGCCCTCAGGCTCAGGGAATCTCCGTGATGCAACAGGAGCTGCGGCTATTATCCGATAGGGATCTCCTGCTTGAGTTAGCTTTTCATTTTGGAATGGCAAGATGGCTCTGGGGGCCTTTCCCAGCAGTTGTCTCAATAACAGCTAAAACAACTCTAACAAAGGAGGGAGCAGAGAGTGAGAGAGGAATCTTCCAGAACTCGAGCCCTTTCTCAGCTGCAGAGATGGGTGGGGCTGTTTATCTCCAGTAGGACAGAGACTCTGCTTTCAAAGCCCTTCCCATTTTGCTTTCTTCATCTTAGGTGGATGTGGGAACCTAGCTCCACTCTGCAACTAACTCCACATCTGTCTTATAACCTCACTGTGCTTCATCCTCTTTCTGCAAAGTTCATTCATGAAAGGAGCCCTCATAGGCCTCACATCTGCCTGCCATGTGCAAAGACCCCTATGCCACAGACATCCATGAAAACCTGAAAATGAGGGATTGACAGGACAGCAGCGTTGGCGCCCTGGATTCAAACTGGCTACTCCTTATTTGAAAAACTCACCTGGAAGATTATAACAAAAGCCAGCCGGGCAGACAGAACGGACCAGTACTGTTTGGAAAATTCATACGGGTTTGGGGCCCATGGCGGCTCTCGGTAATCTTTAAACCTGACCAAAGAGAAAGGTGGTGTTAGGATCAGGAGGAAACAGAGGGAGGAGTGGGACTTCTCTGATTAAATCTCCAGATTGAAAGCAGCCACGGGTGTCTGTGTGCTGGGCAAACCAACAAATGTCCAGGGTATAAAATGACCAATGTTAAAACAAACAAACAAAAAAAGCCCATGTCAGTTTGTTATTATTAAGTGCTGCTGAGTCAGAACCGACCCACAGCGGTTTTACAGAAGCAGTAAATGGCCTGAGAAGAGATTGCTCATCTTCTTCCTGCAGAGCAGCTGGTAGATTCAAACCCAGTGCCTTTGGGTTAGTGATGCAACTCCTGGTAAAAAGCCACCAGTGCTCATAGACATACTTTTTTCTGCACTGCCTTCCACATCCCCAGAAGCTTCCTCTGATGTCACTACTGTCCTCTTAGGAGTCATGAGAAGAACACAAATTAGCAGATTCATCTTGGCTCCCCATTAGACTGTGAGTTCTTTGTAGAGAAGACCCCAGTTATTTTATATGGTGCTCTAAAATCTGTGGGCTCCACGAAGATGCCTGGTAACAAGGCCAGGCTTTACTCACAGCTGGCTACTTTGGGATTGTAACTATGAAAGTAGCCAGGCCAGCTTGATGGCTGCATTCTTCCCCCCCCCCCACTATTTTTTTAAATTAATTTTAATGAAAGTTTACAGAGACTTGGGGTTTCTAGTCATTCATTGTTGCACTTTTCTCCCTGCCCACCTCCTCCCCCCAATTCACTCTCCTCCTTGAAAAGAAAAAGAAAAACTCTTTCATTGTTATGCAGTCCCTCCCTCCAAGTCCACTCCACTATGCAGCCTTCACTCTTAAGCTAAAAAGAAGACTGAATCAGACCAAGCAGAGTGGACCAGGGTGGGAAAGACAATCGTTTTCTAGGTTGGTCAGAGTTCTGTGCAGGCTCTGTGCATATGGTTTAAGAAACAGAAAGTCAATGCCTGACCCATTGAGTGGGCAGGGCTTATTCTCAAGTTTGTCTTTCACCCCACTCGGGAATGACTCATGTTCAAACTAAGTCGTGCTCTCTGACTCACATTTTTTTTCTGAGCCTTTTATTTGGAAAATGACAGTTTCCCATGACTGTTTTGTCCATGGAATGTTTGATGCTCAGTAAAAAGAAAATCATTTCTAAGGACACCTGAAGACAGCGTGAGGCGGCATCGGACCACCAGCCAGGTCCCCACCCTTTGAGGAAGTCAGGGAAGGATTCATCCAGAGACCAGCTGGGGGTTAAAGGAATATCCATGGAACAGCTACTCTGTACCAATCATCAAGCAGGAGGCTTTCCTAATGTTTCCTCACAACATCCTCAGATGATCGTCTTGCTTATACAACACATACGGAAGTTGGGGTTCCCAGTAAAGAATAGAGTCAAGATAGAAATACAAGTCCCCATTAATAGATGTGATTTGCGGAGTGGCATGATTCATAAATGACAGTTCTTCTGACCCTTGTCCTGGATGACTGAGCTGCTCTAAAGATCAATGCAAAACCATGGTGGTTTCCAATTGTCCAAGGAGGAAAGAGGCAAGAAGAGAGGAAAAGAGACATACAAAGATGCACACAGATGGAAAATTAAACAAGACACAGTGAGAAAGAAGAAGAAAGAAACGGAGAGGTGGATACTGAGCACTTAACGAAGGCTTGGCAAGAGGCCAGAAGCCGAAGCCGCCCTCTCCCTTCCCCACTCCCCTCGTCCAACAGCTGATCACAGCTGTTGAGCTTGGTTTTACATCCGGATGAAAAGTAAAGCTAACTCCAGCCCAGCAGAACACCGCGGGATTCACCGCATCCAGCCATGGCTGAGGACAGAAACACGGCCAGCTCCAGATTACCCTTGCGCATGAAAGAGCTAAATGAACGGGGGTATTGGGGGGTGGGAAAAATTCAGTCACCCTTCTTCAGCACCCCCGCCCCAGCAAGAAGGGCATGGCAGAGGCAATCCATCTGACTGTTTTCAAGGCTCAAAAGAGAGGGGTATACACACACAGATGCGCTCCCTACTGGGGGAACCCTCCCCAGGCCTAACCCAGTCCCCCCTGCTGCCACAAAGTCCATTTCTCTTGTTCTCTATCTCTATCTCTGAAGGAACAGCTGCACGCTGACCTCCACATCTCACCCTTCTCTTTCCACTCTCAAAAGAATCCATAAATAATCTGATTCAGGTCCCACCTCTGCTACTAACTCATCACAGCTTTTGGAAATGTCACTTTGCCCTCCCTGAGTGTCTGAAACATAATTTTAATCTAACAGGCACATCCATCCACTGGAGGATCTTAGGGGGAGTTTAACACAGAGATATGTGAACAAATTCTGTGCCAATAAGTTAAAGGTGCCTCTGTTATGAACTCACTGGCAAGCCACATACAGCAGGGGCGAGGAGGGGAGAGAGCAGTTTAATGAATTAGGCATTTGTCCATCATTTTCTTCTAAAGTCAACACTTTTTAAAAAACTGTGACTTGTAGTAAGAAATATATTTTAGATATGTACACAACTATACATATATATATATTTTAAAAAATCCTCATTACTGTCTAGTTGGAACTGACTCAGAGCTGACCCTCTTTAGGTCTCTAAAGCTGTAAACTGAACAAGAAGAAACTATCTTTCTCCTCAGCTAGCTGGTAGATATGAACCATCAGCTAGGCATAGCCTTTTGGTCTACAGACTAGGGACTAGGACATAGCAGTTCCCCATATATGTATTACTGAAATTAAAAAAAATTATACAAAGCATACTTATTCTTGCTAGAGGATGCTATGCACTCATATTTTTTAGATTACATTATATTTTATTTTGTTCTATTCTGTCCCATCCCAATCCATCCCACTTTCCTTCTATTTCTTAAAAGAATTGTTAGCCATGAAAAAAAAATGTTAGCATGACCCCCCCCCCCAATGACCTCATAGCTCACCAATGAAACATGACTCATGGCTTGCTGTTTGTTTGGGTTTTTTTGTGTTTTTTTTTAAAAGTCCAGTAAGCTTCTGCCACCAGGAAAATAGAAGGTGTTTTCATTCCAATGTACACTCAAATAGCACCTTCCCCCCCCCATTTTACTCTAAGAAATCAGGATTATCAAGGATTTTCAGATTAACTAGAAGATATTATTTAAGCGAAGAAATAGTTAGCTTTAAGAATAGAGATGTTCACAAAAGAGAGGTTAATAAAGTAATTCTTATTAATTGCTTTCAATATTGTTACCATGTTATGTTCTGATCATTTTGTGTCTTAGCTGAGTGTATATACAGCCATTGACAAAAGGAGCATTTGGGCTGATGGGTATCAGACCATCAGCTGCTGGGGAACAACAGTTCTACTCCTCAGTCTGATGGGTGGGATCCTGAGCCCTGGGAAGTAGAATGGCCCATTTCCTGTCAGCTCAAGTGCTCTCAAAACTAGATCCTTTGCTCCAGACTTAGAGGAATTCAGTCTTTCAAAGTCCCATTAAGTGGCTACAGCCCTGGCTGAACCCCCAGCTCTGGCCAGCTGCCTGAAACCACTGGCTGTGACCCCAGAGGAAAGCAGAGCTTTTCCCTTGGGATAGAATCATAAAGATTATCTCTAAATCTCACCTTTACCCCACAGCCTTCTTTTACTTTCTTCATTCCTTTATGTTAATTTTGAGAGCTCTCCTGAGTCTTTGGAAAGAGAGTCTTTCATAATAAATATGATAGCTAGTGTGAGTGTCTAAGAAAAGCAGTTTGCTTGTGGAGTTGTTGTTAGATGCCATTGAGTCAGTATGACTCATAGTGACCCTATGAATAGCTGGCCTGAACCCTGTCCTATCCTGTGCCATCTTCATCATCTCTGACACTCGAGTCTACTGCTGAAGTCACCATGTCAATCACCTCATTGAGGTCTTCCTTTCCTTCATTGACCCTTCATCTTTCAGAGCATGATGTCCCTTTCCAAGGTATAGCCTTGTGTAGCTATATGTCCAAAGTAAGAGAGGTGGAGCTTCACCACTTTTGCCTCCAAGGAGTGCTCCGGATGCACTTTTTTCCCAAGACGACTTCACTACTATAAGACACCTACATGTTAGTCCCTATCTCCAAACCTCACCGCCCTAATCCATAAAGTAGAATGAATAGAATAGTTATCACAGAGCTCACAATATAGAAGGTGGATGCTCTCAGTCACTGTTTCCATTAACTACAAATAAATGAATATGTGTGTACCATTAAATAGAAGAACTAAGTCATAAAATACATATGAATGTGATTTCTAGACGCTCCTGTGGTTTCCACTAGGGTGGGAATGACTAGGATAGGGGCTAAAAAGACAGACTTTTCCATTAATTTGCTTCTCTTTTTTTGAGATGTGTGTATGTGTGTTTGCATACATACACTCAACACTCAAACTCATTGCCATTAGAACTGCCTCTCAGCTGACTCTCCAACTCTTCGGGTTCCCAAGACTGTAAATCTCACAGAAGGAAACTGAGTTCCAACTGCCGAAGAGGTGTGGCCTTTGTGGTCATAGTGTAACTCCGTATGGACGATGCCATCAATATATAGACAATTATTCAGAATTAATTTATAATCGTTTGTTACTGCATTGTTTTATAACATAGAGTCGGAACCAACCTATAGCTGACAGTACAGAGGGTTTTGAGAGGCAGTTGCCCATCCTTTTCCTGCAGAGCAGCTGGTGGCCTCGAACCACATGCCTTCAGGATTAGACCACAGCTTCTTGCCATTAGGCCACCAGAGCTCCCTTATTTATAATTAAGAATTCGTATTTTTAAAAGAAGAATCTTATTAATAGCCATGTGTAGTTGGCTGAATTAAAATTTTGTTATGTTAAGCTTTCAGGATTAAAATCACAGTGTTAATAAAACAGACATATTATAAAGGAAACTGGGAGAAGAGTAAAAATTATATTTTAAATGACTTTATTATTTTAGTTAGATGGTTATAATGTTGTGAAAAATCATACTGTTTGGGGTAAATTAATACATTACCTA